TTTTTACTCACTGAAGAACTTTAGTGACCATCCAGTCAAGTCCTTTATTTTGCATAAGAGCCACATTGAGGCCTAATGAATCTGTTATCTGGCTGAGCTCCTCAGCTAGTTAGTTGCAAAGCTAGAACATGAAAATTGGTTTCCTTTGACAAGGCAAAATCATTTCCTATTACAGCACACTATTTTCTACCCCCTCATTTCCCAATCACTTAAACTTTTGCAGTAATTTGAAACTTGAAACCAAATTAACTTATTTTAAATCTCACCTTTTGCTTCACGTTTCTTTTCACTCCATAAACTAATCTTCTGGAAATGGAATAGCCAAGAAAAACTGGATGAGCAAAAGGGTAGAGGCTAACACTTTATAAATACCAGATCAAATCATGAAGCTGATTTCTATTTTTATAACTAAGAACTGTTTTCAACAGTTCTCCCCCTTTTATGTATACTTTTACATAAAATGTGAATTTATATTATTTGCGCTTATGAATATTGTTAAATAAATATTACCTTATCTGTTTATCATTTTTGTTTTATCTTTTGCACATGCCATGAAAACAACTAGGTTTAAATGTTAAGTTAATGTGATTTCTACATTAAGATGATAAAAGTCCTATGTATACAAATATATTTGTTTTTAGCTGAAATTTCATTTCTTTAAAAGCAAAATAGCACAGCAGGGTGCTTTGGATTCTTCAATACTGAAGCATGAAACACTGATCCAAATAAGTTCCCAAATATGACTACCATCTACAAGTTATAATAGCTCAAATATAACAATGTTTTACATAAAATATTTGTTTAATTTGCCAGAAACTTCCTGTATAATTATAGTGGAAGACGGTAGAATGTGTGAAATAATCAAGCTATTCCAAAGAGAACACATCAATATTTGCAGTTCCTGGAAAAAAGATAGAGGGATAAACCAATAATATACTCAAATTTTTGTTTTCTCTTAAATATTTATTTACATGTAGTCATACCCCAAACTTGGGAAAATGCTTATACAGCTGTGGCAACTACTTGTCTTTAATGATCAATGAATAAGGTTTAAATAGTCATTTCATGTTTTCTTGGTAACCACTGCCTTTATAACTCGATTATAATGAAATAGGCACTTGAGAACCCTAATATTGAAATTTCAGTGTCCTATGTAAGTGTTAAATTGATTTAAATGAATTCAGTGATTCTATGATGAGTCCTTTGCTTAGGTGAAAATGTCCTTTGATTTCATGTCAAGAATAAAATCATTAAGGAATTAGGGATTCAAATCCCTTACCAGAAATATTAGTATTTCAGGATATTTGCACATGTGTAGGCTAAAATAACAATCTCTATTTGAGTTTGACTAAGTAATAAAATATAATTATTATTTCAAATAAATTTTTACTCTTTGAATCTTCAAAATATAAAAATAATCATTTCTGTTCCCACTCAAGTTCTGCCCTTTCCCTTTTTTGCCATCCCTTTTATAAAGATTTTCTAACATATAAGTGAATTGGCAAAGCATCTAGAGCATACGTGTAGCTGATTTTTGGTCATGGTTGTTCCATTCTATTATGTTTGTTTGCAGAATATTACAGTGAATAATATCTAATACATGCGTTTGCTCGTTGAGACTCCATACCTTAAATCTGGGGCCAAATTAATGAGCTAACTCCTCTTGAAGGTGAAGTTAGGATTATATTTCTTTTGCTTCCTCTCCCACCTTTCGTGGCTTCGTCTTCCCATGAGAACTTTAAAACTGTCTCTCAAAGGGATGTAAAGGAGCTATGAGGAAAACAGCCTTATCCTTTATGATAGTACCCTCTCAGTGTTTTTTGAACTATAGGTTACAGCCTGCTAGTTGGTTCTGAAATCAGTTTGGTGGGTCATGTCTAGCATTTGTATTAATAAACTTATCTGATAAGAAAACATTATCGGAGTGCCTCAGAGGTAGTAGAGGTAAATACTTTCCTGTTAAATGGTTATTTCAGTGTGTGTGTGTGTGTGTGTGTGTGTGTGTGTGTGTGTGTATGTGTGTGCATGTGTGTGTGTATGTATGTGTGTGTGCACTGGGCTACATGTAAACCGCATGAAACCTTCAGGTGTTGGATTAACTTCAGGTGTTGTGATCAGAAAGCTCTAATCTAATCACAAAGTTATAGTGAATATCTTACCCTGGCCACAATGAGCACATTCATAGAGACATATCTGAACTTAGATACTTTGTTCAGAGCAGGCACTAACGCACCATAAATAAAAATTACAAGACCTAGTCACCCCATTCTGTCAGACAAACTCTTAATAGATGAGTATCTGAAACTCTTGGCAGCAGATTTGCCCCGAGAGTATAGGCACACTGAATATGGAAACTCCAGAGTGTACCGAGCTCTGCAAACTATGCAGAGGACACAGAGAGTGGAGTGTTATGCAAGCCACCGGATGCCCTCATCTCAGGAATCCTCCAAGTATCCTTAGTGTCAGAATTATAACACCACAAATAAGGACAAGACAGTTTTTCCAAGTGTTTTCCCCTCCCTGAGCTAAATCAAGCTTGTTCCATGAATAAAAAGGCATATGGGAAAAATTGCATATTTTAAAGATATATCCCCACTCTTGTAAAACTTTGTCGTTGTTCACTTGCTCTGTGTCTCCTAGCTGTTGTCTCTGAATATGAGGTATTCATTTCTAGGAAGTCTTCTTGAACTAATTGGAAAACAGGAGCTGGAATCTCTCTCTCTTTTATCTTAAAAACCTAAATGTCACTGTGTTCATTGCATACAACACTTTGCTTTCCACATTTTTTTTTTTTTAATGTCCACCTTACCTTTTGTCATTAACACTTAGCTCTTTCTCATCATTTTCTAACTTACATTAGCTGCTGCAGAGGTTAGGGGTCCTCTCAACTCACTTCTTAGGGCATTTTGAACAGTTAAAAATGCGTGTAATGAAATTCTATTTAGAAAAGTGTCACCATTCTCTCTCAAAATTATATGTTTAATTTCCCCTAAATGATTTTTAAAATATTTTTCTAAGTGGGATTTTCCAGTTCCTGTATGTTCCTAAATGAATTTTCTTCTAGACACTTGCACAAATGTGAACAGTAAAAACGAGCACTTTGTCATTTTCCCCTTTTGCTGCCTCCTTCCAAAATCCCTGTTATACCCCCTATTTGGAAGGCCAAAATAGCAATGCCTTTGAGTGTTTCTCCCCTAGGAGCTTTTTCATTTCTTTCTGTGGAAGTCTAGAGAGACAAATGTCTTCTTAATGACTTGGCCGGTGCACGGTCTCCGTCAGCAGCTTCCGTGCCCTTCTCCCTCACAAAGACAGATCCCATTACACTGCCCATATCGAGGAGCACCCCTCTGCTGGGATTTGGGAGTCTCCTGGGAACAATGCAGGGTCTGGCAGCCCTGTGTGCTTAGATGCATGTTTCACGTTCACCACAGGCCATGGTTCCATTTGGAGTGGGCCTTCACTAGTTGGCGAAAGAACTAAAATGCATCTTCCTATCCACCCTCTACACACACTACCCTTTCCCTTCCCTTTCTGTCTCTACCTCTGTACCCCATCTTCTGTCTTCAGGCCTCTCCCATTTTGTCTGCACTCTAAATCCCTGAGGCTTCTAATCCACTTTCTCTTGTTAGACTCTAGGTCCCTAGTCTGCTTTATGGTCTCGACCTGAGAAAGAAATCTGGGATAATCGGAAATGGGTCAATGTGGTGTCCTTTTCGGGTATCGTATTTGCATTTTTACAAAGATCTTTCTGAAGATAGAATATTAGTGGAATTTTGAGTAATCTGGTGGTACAGGATGAAAGTTTTGATCAGGAAAATGCCTGCTGTCTTTCTTTTTTTCTTTTAATGGATTCCATAAATATATAATTTTTTCTTTGATCCTCAAATAATCCCATGTGAATGTCTACCTCTTCATCCTATGCTTAAGGCTAGGATTTCCATGGGTTTATAAACTAATAGAGTTATTTTCCCCTCACATTAGAGTGAGGAAGAAAAAACAACTTGTCAATAAGTAAGTAATTAGTTTGTTTTTTTAGATAAGTAAGTAACTAGTAAGTAACTAGTTTGTTTTTTTAAAAAAATAGTAAACACCCAATTTGACTTGGTTCTTGTGATGAATCATGATAGACAGCATTTATGTAGTGCTTACTACAAACCAGACACTTTACCTGTATTATTTTATTTAACACTCATATGAGGTAGGTCATATTACTATGCCCATATTATGAATGAGTAAACTGAGACCATAGAGGCTAAGCAATAGATTCATACGGCTGAGTGTGATGAAGTCAGGTTTTGACACAGATAATCTGTTAATGTGTTGTGTACAGTAAAAACAATGAAGCCAGTTAAGGATGGGGGCACAACACAACCTTTCATTGGTTTGCATATGCATACCTGCTTTGAAAATGAACACTAACCAAAGAGAGTCTGACTTTATTCCAGAGAGATGTAGAATGCCAATTTCTCCTTCTTTCTTTCTCTTTCTCTCCCTCCCCTTCCACCCTCCCCTCCCTCCCCTTCCACCCTTCCTTTCTTTCCATCTTGGCTGAACTGTTAGAGAGTGGTAAGAATGCCATTTTCTCTTCCCTCCCTTACTCCCTCCCTCCCTCCTTTTCCCTTCCTCCTTCCTTCCTTCCTTCCTTCCTTCCTTCCTTCCTTCCTTCCTTCCTTCCTCCTTCTTTCCTTTTTCCCCTGAACTCTTAGAGGCTGACAAACACTCTT